AGAGAGAGAGAGAGAGAGAGAGAGAGAGAGAGAGAGAGAGAGAGTGTTGCATACTAGTGAATACTTCAACAAGTATGGGCAGAACCAAAAGATCAACCAATATAGGATGAGCATGTATGCATCGGAAGTCTGAGAAATGGACTGACTCACATAGACTGGACTCATCCAGATATCACTCAACGCACAAGCAATCGGAGATGGTGAGCCAATCATAGACGATGCTCAGGCACCGTACAACCATACATAGATGAAAGGTACAAGATCAGAATGTCGTGGACAATAAGTCACCAATGTAGGAGGTACAAAGTCCTAATGTAACCGGTGTCCAATCTGTGATGCCGCCGATTATCACTCCCAACTATCTCCAAGTCTCGGATCCGGTAAGTATCACAGCCTCCTACCACCAAAGTCCAAACACTGATCTCTGTCCAACTCGTATCGAAGTCTCCAATCTGAATAAGAAGAAGAAGAAGAAGAAGAAGTCTGAAGAAGAAGAAGCAGAAGAAGAAGAAGAAGAAGAAGGATGAGAAGAATAGGAGAAGAAGACTGAGATGGAGAGGAGAGGTAGAGGTGGGGGAGCTGGTGAGGGCCTCAGGCCGAACCTGCAGATAGCAAGCTGGCGTCTTGGCGGCGGCGGGAGATCTGCTGCAGATCGCTGGAGCTATGGCGCCCCACTGTCTCAGGTAAGTCCTCCTCGCTCCTTCTCGCTCCTCCTGGACTGCAGTGCGCTAAACTAGCGCTGCAGTCCCTAGCGCAGTGCTCAACCGAAATAACGCAGCGCTCCTCGGGCTGCTCCTCGTTCCAACCTTCCAGAATGGCCGCTGCACCGGCCTAAGTACCGTCCGGCGGCCGGTTGGCCTCGATGCTGGCCTCCTGCGCCATGTGCTGAACCGGCGAAATGACCGTTCAGCCCAGACCGGCGGGCGGCAGCCTCAAGAGCGCCGCCAGGCCCAAACGGTTGTGTCGTTTGGGTCAGACCTGGTCTGCTAGGCGCCGAGCCTAAGAGGGCCTACCGAGGGGAAAAAGGTCTGGCTTTTGGCGTGGTGAGGCCGGCCTGGGTACCCCCTGAACCAGTATGTCGGGCCTGTGAAGGCCCGCGTGAAATCGCAGCATGTTACAGAGAGAGAGAGGCCAGCCGCGCAGACTGCTGGCTGGTGAGGGCGCGGCCTGCGGGACGAACGGGAGGAGGAGCGGGAGGAGGAAGGGGGGAAGAGGAGGAAGAGCAATGGGAGGAGAAGGAGGAAGAGCTGTCAGGACAGGGAGGTCTTAATCGTGGGAAGTAGAGGTCATGATGGAGAAATGGGATCGGAGAGGGAAGACGTATCGTGGGACAGAGGTGGGGATCGATGGGGGAAAGTGGGGGGAAGGAAGCCGGGATGGGGAGGGAAGTCGCCAGACGGATGTTAGGGGAGGGAGGTCGGAGGAGGCAGTCGGGATCGGGGGATCGGTGGGGATCGGTGGAGGGAAGGCGGGATCGGGGAGAGGTGGGGATCGGTGGAGGGAAGGCGAAGGGAGGTCGGGGGAGGGAGATTGGCGGAGGCCCGAGGGAGGTCGACAAAGGGAAGTCGGAGTAGGGACGTTGGAGTAGGGATGTTGGAGTAGGGACGGCGGAGTAGGGACTCGAGGGAGGGAGGGGAGTCGGGATGGGAAGGGAAGTCGTGGGAGGGGGGTCAGTGCAGGGAGGGAAGTCAGGATGGGAAGGGGGGTGAGGGGAGGGGGGTTGGGGAATGGAGGTCGGGGTAGGGAAGTCGGGGTAGGGAAGTCGGGGCAGGGAAGTCGAGATGGGGAGGGAAGTCGGGGGAGGGAGGTTGGGGGAGGGACATCGGGGGAGGGAGGGGGGAATAGGAGGTGGCGTGGAGGTGTATATTTCCATCACAACAAAAAAAGTGTGGCGGTGTATATTTCCATGTTCTAGTGGGAAATCGGAATTCGTTCGATTTTGCTCATCCTATCGATGGAAGTACCCTCTCTCTCTCTCACACACACATACACACACACACATGCACACGCACACGTGTAGCAGGAGCCGGAGCTGGAGGAGGACCAGGGGCTGGAGGAGGAAGAGCGGGAGGAGCAGCAGGAGGGGGAGCGGGAGAAGGACGATCCATCATCTGTTGTTGTTAGGCGGTGTGAAAGGGAGGACGTGCGCTCGCGCGAGAGAGAGAGAGAGAGAGAGAGAGAGAGAGAGAGAGAGAGAGAGAGAGAGAGAGAAGCAGCCCGCCGGACTTGCGGGAGGAGCGGGAGAGGGGGGAAGAGGAGGAGGAGCAGCGGGAGGAGGAGGAAGAGCGGGAGGAGCAGCAGGAGGGGGAGTGGGAGAAGGACGATCCATCATCTACTGTTGTTAAGCGGTGTGAAAGGGAGGACGAGCGCACGCGCTGGAGAGAGAGAGA